TATATATATATTTATTTAATTTTCGATGTTATTAATCATAAGCACAAAAAACGTTGGATAAAACATTGGATAAATATATAAAAATAAGATTACCTTATAAATATGTAAAAGTATTATGTATATGTGAGATACTTGAAATATCTTTCAATGAAACTCAAAGATCAAGGTACTGAAAATGTATAATATAACATAAACTGTTTTCAATGCTGGCAGTAAATTTTGGAACACAGCCCAATAGTACAATAAAATTCTGGACATTTTGGACTTGACAGACATAATTCCGTATTAGACCGAATATGGCAGAACTAATTGCTAAATTTTAAGAATTTTAGAAAATTTGTAAACTAAATGACAAACTTATAGATTTAATAATGCACTGACAAAATATTATTATTAATCTATCTTATGAAGGTTACATAATAAAAGTTAGCTTTTATTATGTAATGCAATGTTAAATTTAATGATTTATTATTATCTAGATATGTTTCGTATGTTACAATACATTCAAAAATGAAAATATTATCGGTTTAAATGTAATAAATTAAATTTTACATTACTATTTGTAATTAAACTTTTTTATCTTTTTTTTTCATTCTTCAATGTATAATTTTACATCTATTTTATTTTGAATATAAACAATATAATATTCGGAAATTTATAAACAGATTTAAAAATCATACATGATCATGTTTAGATTTAGGGGCCTATCCTCTAATTCTTAATGACTATAACAATATCGTTACATTGATTACATTGATTTACGCCCAAGTTATATGATCGATGATTTTGTTTAACATTTAATATAAACAAGGACAGATGATGAATCTGATGCATCGGAGATATCTGAGCGACGTTTTCGAACGCGGCTATTAATGTTATATATAGAACTTAATGGAAGGGGAATAACCTATCCAATGAGTGGAAAGTGCAAGACTGAGAGACAAAAAATGTATATTTTTGTCCTGCTCAATAACTTTTCCTTTTTTGATAGAAGAGAAAGATATATTTCTGTCCTGCTCAGTAACTTTTCTTCTTTCTGCGCATGTGCCAAAAAGGAATAGAAGAGAACAGAAATACATCTTCTCTCAGTCTTACTCAGCTCGACGTCTGTATTCCCCTTCCTTATTATTATAAATTCTATGATGTTAAACAAGGATAAGATCACGAAGTAAGAGAGGAGATCCAACTTGATAGCGCACAAGTAAAAAAAAGTGATCCTGATTTGTGACCCCTAATTGGGAGGGAATCCGCTGAACGGAATGGATTTTTACATTTGAGCGCCAGTTGTAAAGCAGTGTCATGAGGTTAAGTACGTTATCTCACTGATCGCTGCATTTGTTGCCGATTTGCGATTATAAATCCAAATAAACTAAGAAAGTATTTCAAAAAAGAATTCTCTAATAATTATGTGAATCATATTATAAAGTATATAGCAGGAGATGATATATTTTATGATATAAATATTAATTCTAAACAAAATAATAAATATATAGATAACAAAAAACTGTCGACTAAACACTATCACAATATAAGTACATACAGGGTTCGGGGAGACACTATTCGCGTTATGGACGCAAACGTTACCAACGCTGTTCTTGGAACCAATAGCGCGATAGCAAACTTTATGAACGATCCTAGCGTAGCGTTGGTAGCGTTTAATCAGAGAGATATATTCGTTAAATTAATGTAGGGGATTCTGTTTTCAATCACCAACCAAACTTTTTCCTATAATTAAAATTTTTAAGGTTTTGTAAAATATTTCTAACATAAATTTTTTATTTTCTCATAATGAATAACAGAAAGCAATCTCAATTGCAATCTCTATGATAGCTTGCCGCTAGGTCGAAGTGAACAATGTAAACTAGATCAAAAAATTAAGTTACACTAATTTAGTTACACTAATTAATCAGATAAAAGGAAAAACCCTTGAGCATTATCGATTTCAAAAGAAGAAGCATATCTAGCATCTAATAAGGACTTTAAACATCTGCAGCGGAATATCCTGCCGCACTATATCGCAGTAGTAACTTTTTTCCGTACACGGGAATTAAAAATTGCCAGTAACAAGATATCTCTGACTTTCACATTTATAATGAAATCAAATACACAAATTGAACTTCGCAGAAACTTTGAAAAGTTAAAAATGATACACAAGCAAGATTTACATTCACTCCAGTCTAGTGGTTAGTGGCAAGCCATCAGCAGAGATTAAAACTGAGATTGCATTCATTATGATAAAATTTGAAATTCACACATTATGTACGTACGTTTACGAAATTCTAGAGAAAGGTGCCATTCAAGAACAGAATCTCCTCAAACATTAATCTAACTTTGACGAATGTTAAATGCTAGGATTATTCACGGATTTGTAAATGCTAAAGCTGGAAACACAATGCTGAAAGGCAAAAGGAACAGGGAATAAAAGATTTCAATCTATCAGAAAGCATCCATTCTATTATTCATGGTTTCTGATAAGTTGAAATCTCTTATTCCCTGTGCTTTTTATTGTGTTTCCAGCTTTACGCTACCAATATACTACCTCGGAAGGAATAGCATTGATAGCGCGCAATTGTGACGTAACACGCTACCATTAGTGATGTCTTGATTGTGTTTGTTATCTGCAATTCCGCGAACAGTTTGTAGCGCTAAATAGCTTCCCGAACGCATCCACAGTACATTGAGCGTCGACATATT